GGGTGCAGTGACATATGGCGTGATACTGTCACCTATGACGAATTGACAATAAATGAAAGACAAAAAACAGACCAGAAATTTTCGGAAATGTTGGACAAAGTGAGACGTGGCTTTCCAGACGATGAGACTCTCGCTACACTTTCCGAAAGGGTATTTTCGACGCCCATTGAGAAAAAATTTAAAATATTACAACAGGGTGGTAACGCCCCAGTTTGCCTGTTTCCAAAAGTAGACATGTGCAAAGAATTTAATGAAACAATGCTGGCTAATCTACCAAGTCCTACCATAAAAATAAGAGCCACAAATTTAATTGATGGTACTGGCAACATACATGTACGTAGAAAGAAAGATGATGATGATTTAGAAAAAAAGGTTGAGAAAAAGTTAAAAGAATTAAATAAAGATATTAACAATACTGGTGGTTTAGAAGCCAAATTAAAATTGGCTGTGGGGGCTAGAGTAATGTTGCGTTGCAATGTAAATGTTGAAAAGGGATTAGTGAATGGAGCACTTGGTACAGTGCAGGCCATTTCAGAAACACGCATAACAGTTAATTTTGATAGAATAACTGATCCTTGTGAGATTGAAAAAGTGAAGAGAAAGTTTATGGTAATGAAAAATGTCTTTGTGTATAGAAGCCAGTTTCCTTTGATATTAGCTTTTGCTGTTACCATACACAAATGCCAGGGACTGTCACTAGATAATGCAATCATTGATCTGTCTGAAAACGTATTTAGTGCAGGAATGGCTTATGTTGCTCTATCACGAGTACGAACACTGTCTGGTGTCCATTTGACATGTTTCAACCCCAAATCATTGATGGTTTCCTCTTGTAGTATAAAAGAAATAAACAGGTTGAGACAATTGTACAGGCCAGACCTCCCACAATATGCCATTCCTACAGATTGTGGCAGTAGAAAGCGTACACTTACTGGAACTATTGATGAGCCACAAGCAAAAAATCAAAAAAATATGCCACCACCAAAGGTAGCTCGTGATAAGAGAAGTAGGCCATCAGACAGTAAGAACAACGATAAAGCTAATTGCCCCAAAAAACCACCTACTGTTATCACTAATAATAACAATAATGATGATAGTGATGATTGTGTGATGACGGGAATGAGTACAAGAGCTAGTAATTTAAAATACCATCCCCCCAATGCTGCTACTCAAAAAGCATGGTGTAATGCCCTAAACTTGGGATTTGTTAAATCATATAGACCAAAGTTGGGTAGCCCAACCACAGAATTAACTGTACCCAAAGGATCTACTAATGTACCTGGTGATGGTAATTGTTTATTTAATGCTCTGTCTCATGCCATTACAGGTTCTTATATTCAGCAAAATTTCATCAGATCGGCCATTATTAGA